TCTCTGTCTCTGTCTCTGTCTCCTTGATCCCAGCCCCACGAGGCCTGCTCGGCGGATGTCACAGCTCCCACGTCCCTCCACGGCCCCCCACGGCCCTCCTCCCCCCATACAGCCTATGCTGACCAGCTTGTCCACGTGTCACCCTTGCACGCCACCCTCGCCTGCCCAGCCCCCCTGTGCTTCCTGCGCTCCGCTGGATCCTGAGGACTTCCCTGTGCTGTCCACGGAAACACACTCAGGCCACTTTCTACTGCTGCCACCAAAAGCGCAGCGCAGCACGGAACCCGCCTACAGTGCTCTGCGGAACCTCCCACCTCCGGCTTCCCTCCTCCCCCTCGACCTCTCCTGAGGAGCCACCATAGGCCAGCACTGACTAGGGCCCTGGCTGCCGAAGGACATCGGGACCCACCTGGACAGCCACCCAGGGCTCCAGGGGCTCTGCAGCCTCAGGCCACGCCAATCATGGGGAAGCCAGTGAGCACAGTGAACCGGGACACCTGAGTCTGCAATGGGGGTCCAACACGACAGGCACCCCTTCCACTGGGACATAGCCAAGTACAGGTCACAAGGTGTTTCCCTAGATCAGGCCCTCTGCAGTCTAGGCACCAGCACCTCCTCGCCAACTAGAGTGGGTAAGTCAATAGCCACAAACCTTCACTTCCTCCAACTGTCTGGCCGGGGCTCCTGGCCGCTCCACAAGGGCTGGCGGAGGCTGTGGGGCACCTGCCTGAGCTCAGGGTCCCTGGAGACCAGAAAGACAGGCAGGTAGCACAGTCAGAGTGCCTCTAGAACAAGCCATTAAACTGCTGTATCTGACTTTTAGAGAAAGAAAGGGACCTGGGCAGGAGACCCACAGGGTCACACTCTCCACTCAGCTAGGCCAGCATCATTGTGATTACTCTGGGAGGAGACACCTTGGGGGCATGTCCTCACCTCCTCTGATGTGTTCACAAGGAAAAGAAAATAACTAGAGGGAGCCCCCCCCACCAGCCCGGCCGGCCGCCCGGCTCTCGTACTCCCAGCCTTAACTGGTTAGCCAGCAGTCTCTGGAGGTTTTCAGGGCATGTTTTCAGCTGGTGAGAGTCACACCAAGTACAAACAGAGCAAAGGTATTTCCTGCACAAGCCCTCAGGGAACAGCTTTTGGAAACACAGAGCCAAGTGTGGACCTCCCGCTCCACGCCAGCAGGGCCACGCTCACAACCCAGCCAGGCTCAGGGTGGGCGCCACCTTTGGCTGATCAGAGACATGGGTGGGACGCAGGGGCCGTGGTCCCTGGGGTTCGCACAGCTTCCTGGCACATGTACACATAGCTTCTGCTGAGGTGAGGGCCCAGGTGATCCTGCCGCTGTACAGTGTGATCCCAGACACAGTGCGGGTGGCCCTCACAATTTTATTCTTCAGTTCCATAAGACAAAGAACTCAAGTTTACTGAGCCTTCGCTGCCTCAATACCAGGAAATCAGGAGCTAAAGAGCGGGGCAGCACTCGGCATGAAGCCAGAGGAACCGACCCACGGACAGGAGGATGTGCTCCGCGGAGACCCTGGAGAGCCAGAGCCAAGAGCGAGCCCCTCAGGCCACGCCACAGAGGCAGCCCAACTGGAACTCTTCCAGAGGAGGAGACAGGGGACGGAGCCTGGGCAGCAGTCACTAAAGTTACAAACAGAGTGGCCCTGGAGTCACCAACAGAGCAACCCCTGGGGACACCCTGAGATGAGGCAGGCAGAGGCAGATGGGGTAAGAAAAAGCCCAGGCTGGGGGCACCCCACTCACCTCCTCTGCACTGAGGTCACCAAAGGTGCCCACCTGCCCTGGCCATACCATACGAACTGCACCCCTTGCCCTCTGTCTGGGTCCTCTGGGGTTCCCGTCCCCCACAGCTTTTCTCATGCTAATGCATAACAGTAAAAGCATGAGCTGAGCTGTGCCCAGAGCTCCTGTCCGACTCTTCCAGCAGGGACCCCAGACTAGCAGTCAGGTGAGCGGCTCTGCGCTGTGGCCATCTCCTCCTACCCTAAGGTGAAGGCAAGCTGGCGCTCTCCTGGAGCTGCAAGAACCTTCCACCTCAGATGCAGGGATGCAGATCGTGCTGGGAGTAACAGCTCCCAGGGCTGCAGAAGCCGAGCTCTCCAGCATGGCAGCCAGAGGGGCAGGGGCTGGGCCTGAAGCCACCTAACCATCTGCCCAGGACAGCAGAATTGTCAGGGTCAGAGCCATCCTCAGGGGACCAGAGCTTGAGGCTGTGCAGGGCCGAGCCGAAAGCCTTCCTCTGGGCTAAGCGAAAGCATGCTTCATCTGCAGCCGGCCAAGCAGCGCCACCCAGCAAACAGGTCCTGAGCCGCTCCCTGCAGAGGCTTACCTTTTTGTCCTCCTTGGTCTTCCTGACATTTCGAGGAGGCCCAAAGAGGTTCTGCATCCCGAAGGCCTTCCTGGCCCAGTCCCGCTTCTGGGTGCTCAGTGGGGCCTGTGCAAAGCTCCCCTCCACCCGGTAGCGGTCTGCAGGGATCCTGCTCATGGGGGGCGGCAATGTGCCGCAGTTGACACTGGACCAGCCATCTGTGGAGTCCGTGTAAGATTCCTGGTCACTGGCATGGCCACACTGCCACTCCTGGAGCACGTGCACTGGCAGCCACCTCTGGCTAAGCCCGCAGCTAGCCCCAGTGGCACCTCTCTTGGAAGGAGGGACAGAGCTCCGCAGGGAGGCCAGGGCCCCCTCAGGGTGGGAGGCTGACCCCAGGTGCTTGCTTGGGTCCCGGAGCCTGTCTGCCTGTGGGCCAGCCTCGCATGCAGCGGCGCCCTCGGGGCTGTGGCAGAAGGGCCTGCTCCAGGATGCAGCCCAAGCCTGTGAGCCCCTGGCACCTGCCCCTTCCCAGCTGGCACTGCTGCCCGGGCTGGGCCTGCTCAAGCCGCTACCCAGGTCAACCACAAGCACCCGACTGCTCTTCTCCTCCTGGCTGAAATTCCCGAGGCCGCTGTCACTAGTGCTGCTGGTGCTGTTGTTCTGGTGGGCGTCAGCATCACCATCCAGGAAGGCCCGGGCCCGCACACCCTCGATGAGCTCGCCCATGTCCCGATATAGCACGGAGATGAACTGCAGCACTGGCAGCGAGGACGCTGGGAACTCCAGGCAGCCGCTGGTGTCGGGGTCCGCCGTGCACGTGAACCCAAAGCGCCGCGCGATGCCCTGGTGGACCTTGTGGTGGAACAGGTCGGGGTCCACCATGAACACATGGCAGGACGTCCGCAGGGCACCCTCCTCACCCTGGGCCAGGCTCCCATCGTCATTCATCTGCATGGTCACCAACCCAAAGAACCGCCTGTCATCCGGGCACACGGCACTGAACGCTAGCTTCTCCGCCGGGTACTCAGCCACGACGCAGGCCTTGTCAGAGCACAGCAGCACGCGGTCATGCATGACCTTCATGGTGACCAGCGAGTGGATCTTCTGCTCCGCTCGCAGGCGCCGCATGCAGCCACGGATGGCCTGCAGGCTGTCCGACTCCAGGTTAGAGCTGGTGGAGGGCAGTTCAATGGAACCCAGGTAGCCGACAACCATGGCCACGTTCAGGATGCTCGCATCTAGCGTGAAGCTGTCCAGGTTTTCCGGGCCAGCACTGAAGACAGAGTCATCAGGGATCACTCGCGCCAACTCCTTGGAAAGCAGGCCAGGGTGCACGGTGCTGGGACCATCTTCCAGGCGTGCCGCAGCCGACTCCGACAGGGACCTTTGCTTCCCCTTTGAGGGCTCTGAGCTGCTCATGCAAAGGCTCGGGTTTTCAAAAATCATGCTGAAAATGCCCCCCGACTGCATCTCCTCCACAACCCTCTCTGCCCTGTTTATTCCCAGGGCCTTGGAGCCGAGCCTGGGCCGCGGCCAGCCCTTTCCCTCGCAGAGCCCACCCTCATCGTCGCTGGAGCAGGCCTCGGGGTGGCTGGCGCCTTCGCCCACAACCAGGCGCAGCACCCCAGAGCACTCCCCAATGAGCTTCAGCACATCCTCGTGCGAGGCCTTCTTCACGTTGATCTCATTGATGGCAAAGATCTGGTCCCCTGCACGGAGGCCAACAAAATCCGCGGGGCTGCCCCGCATGACTCCGCTGAGCACACAGGGCGCCTGCCCCGAGAGCATGAAGCCATAGCCGGCGCGGCCTCGGGCCACCTCCACGCTCCGCACACGAGGGGACACAGGCCCAGGGGTTGGCCTCTTCCCTGGCTCCCCTGCCCTGTACATCGTGGGGAGCAGTCAGCCCCAGGAGCATGTCCAGCTACTCCAGGGAACCCAGGCCTCCGGGAACGCTAGATGTTGCCGCGTGCTCTGATGCAGTAACATCCTATGGAGGAAAAATAAACAGCTTGTTACCAAGAGCCTGGAGTTCTGCTGCTTCCTGGTGTTGCCTGACATAGAGACAATTGGGTCCGGGTGAGGCGACACACACTTTTAATTCTAGCTATCAAGGAGGCTGAGGTAAGAAGAATGCAAGTTCCATGGGGCTGGAGAGATGGCTCAGTGGTCTAAAGCACCTACTTGGAACAAGCTTAGCAAAGCATCAGGGACCACGGTTCAATCCCCCAGCACCACATGCCAGCCAGCCCCGCCCCCTGGTGGGCTGAGCTGGCCACACACACACACCACACACACACTCTCTCTCTCTCTCTCTCTCTCTCTCTCTCTCTCTCTCTCTCTCTCAAATAAATAAAAAAAAAAAAAAGTTTAAAAAAAAAAAAAAAAAAAAATGCAAATTCCAGGCCAGCCTGGACAACCTAAAGAGATGTTATCTCAAAATGAGAATTTTAAAAATGACTGTGGACATAGCTCAGTGGTAGAGCACTTACCTGCCACGTGTAAGGCCCTGGGTTCAATCCCCACTGACACACACAGTGTGTGTGTATGCACACATGCACACACAAGAAGTCATAATAAGAACTCCATAGGCTGAGTGTGGTGACACGGAACTCTGGGAGGCTAAGGCAGGGGGACAGCGAGCTTGAGTACAGTCTGGACAACCTAGTGACTTAGCAATACCCAGTTTCAAAATAAATACTAAAAGATGTAGTTCAATCCCCGGTTCCGCAAAAAAAAAAAAAAAAAAATAAAAAAATAAAAAAAAAAAAAAAAAAGATGTAGCTCAGTAAGAAGGCCTTAGGCTTACAGCTCAGTACTACAAAAAGAGAGAGACAGAGGAAGAATGGCCCTAGAGAAAGAGTCCCCAAAGAGCACCTAGCTACCTCATCAGCATCAAGGCGGCGGAGGGGCAAGCGTACCCTGAAGTCGGGGCTAAGGACCTCTACCAAGGTGGCGGCCTCACAGAGTAAGCAGCTCTCCTGGCTGTGCCTGAGGGGCTCTGAAGGGTGTCCCCAGTGTCAGCGGCTGAGGTTGAAAAGAAGCCTCGGCAGGCAGCATCCCGGGAGCCCTGCAGGTCCCCTCCACCTTTATCACCTCTATCTAACTGCAAACACCTGCTCCTGAATGTTTTCCCTCTGGATGGGGTCACCTCATGTTCTCTCAAACCTCATAACCTCCTAACAGCTAATTTATCTTGAACAAGGAGCCAAGTGGGAAAAACACATTATTCTGAAACAACCTCAATCAATAAAACAACAGTGGTCAACCAAAAGAAGAGACAAAAACACCCAGAAAAGCAAAGACATGGAACACTCATTTAATTGTTCCCCAGGCCACAACTTAATTTTTTTTTTCGTATCTTAGGGACGGGTCCACAGGTGTTCAGGGTTTCACTGTTAGATCAGACTCATAGTGATCCGCCTGTTTACAGCCTCCAAAGAGCTGGGATTACTTGAAGGCATCCTGAGCAGCCCCCCCCCCAAAAAAAAAATTCCTTCTGCCATTTTGTGGGCCAGGGAGATGGCTCAGTAAAATAAGCACTTGCCTGGTGAGCACAAGGACCTGAGTTCAATCCCTGTTTCCAGGAAAAAAAAAAAAAAAAAAAAAAAAAAAAAGGTGGCATTACAGGTGTGTGCAACCACACCCAGTCTCAATTGCCATCTCAGTGCACCCCAGGGGAGCGGGCCGGAAGGGCAGGCCCTGGGATCAAAACCCGGTGGTGTTTGTTTGTTTGTTTTGGCTGGCTCAGGCTGCCTCATTCAAGGGTCAAGGCATCTGGAGCTGGGGACTGACAGAGGTCCCCTGCACCAGCCTGCATTAGCCTGCACAGGCACTTCAATAACTGCGCTAACCTGCAAGCCAACTTCAAATGTTTCAGCATTGGTTATCATTGGAGACAGACCTGTGTCACGGTCCCCAAGGCCCCCAACCAGCGACTGACCAGGGGATAAGTCCCACCCACATGGGGCTAAGATGGACGCAGGGAAAGTCAAGCAGGAGAAGGCACAAGGGCAGAGTCCGGCCAGCTCCAGGGCCCCCTCACTGGGGTCACTCGGCACGCGTGTCATCCCTAGCAAGGAGCTGTGACAGTGTGGGGCGCCCGCTGGGGCCGCGGGGTCCAGGGCTTTCACCCCCGCCCAGCAGGCAGGGACTCCAGATGCCAGTCTCTGCAGTCAGCTGGGCGCAGGTGGGCCTCTAGGACTGCGCCGGGGCTGAGAAAACTCCCTGGCAGTATGTGGGGACAGCGTAAAATAGCAAGCCATCGCGTAAGTCGCTCAGAGCCGGGGCAGCAGAGAGCACATTTCCCAAGCCGCTCCTGCGGTTGCCAAGTTAGAAGCTGCTGTCGTGTCCGGGCAGTTTCCGGTCCCAGAGCTGTAAACAGATTCCGTTTACGGACCTTGAAGCCAAGGAGCGGAGCGGCAGGGTGCAGCAGGGCAACCCCCCGAGCCGACCCCTGACGCGGTCTGAGGAAGCTCTTACACTCAGTGCTGAGACCCAACTAGTGCGAACAACTGAGAGCAGAAGCCTTCTTCGGCTCGCGGTCTGAGAAATTTCAGCCCATGCGCCTCAGGCGCAAACACAAAATGACAAGGAGAGGCACGGCAGAGGAGAGGCAGCCAAGGCTAGCAGGCAGGCTGCAGAGAGCAAGGGGGACCAGGGTGGCAGAGGAGCCCCACCTAATTCCTCTGGGGACAGAGCTTTTCCAGGCCACGCCCCATTCCTGCAGACCACGCCCCGTGCCCGCCTCCTCCCCACGCCCCTCCCCGCCCTAGGAACCCCTCCCCCCCCCCCTGCACACAGTGCGGAGGCCTAAGGGAGACATACAGGCATTCAACACAAACCACACCCTTCAGCTCCGAGCCCCCAAAGGCTCACACACCTTTTATGCAAAGTGCATTCAGAGCGCCTAAGCCACACAGGTCCGGGTCTACGGGCCAACTTCGAGGCCCTGCGGAAATTGGAAAGTAAGGTGCAGCACACCTGTAATCCCAGCACTGGGAAGGCTGAGGCAGAAGGATCACTAGAGCTTGAGTCAGTACAGGACACAGAATGAGACTATCCAAAACCTCAAAATGAAACCTAAGTCAAACACCATCAACACACAATGCTGCAGGGCAAACACTTCCATCCAAAAGAGAAACTGGGATGGAATGCAATGGGACCAAAGCAGGACAGGAACCCAGCAGGGCAGATCTGAAGCCCACAGCTGTGTGTGTGCCCAGCCCCTGGGCATGCTGTGCAGGGTCTCCTGCGGGCATCCGCTCCTCAGGCAGCAGGAGGGACCAAGCCCAGAGGGACCCACTGCACTCAGCACTGAGGCCTCCACAGGTCTCCTCCAGCCCAGCCTGGTCAGCAGGGGGCCACCAAGCCACCTTCTCTAGCCGGGCGAGGGTCGCAGCCCCTGCCAGCCCACACTTGCCTCTCACTAACACGTCCCAGCCAGCACCACAGCACCCCATCAGCCAGCTGCTCTGCCCCACACAGACTGGAACCTGTGGGCCCCATGTCCCCCTCCTGTCCCCTCGTGCAGCCTCACGAGCACCCCAGCCCTGGGCCCACCTGCACAGCCCTCCTGAGAGCCCAGGCTCTCTTCCCAACCCACAGAGGCCGCGGCCCGGCCTTCTTGGCACAGGGCAGCCTGATGCCAGCAGGGCTCCCCAGGCAGGTGCCCATATCACCAAGGGCACTTCTGGGCCTCGTGACGGCCACAGTAAGCTCCGGTCTCAGCCCAGCACCCGACAACAGCAAAGCCTCCATCTGCAGGACCCTAAGACAGCACCCACTGAACACCCAACTCCCACGCTAGGCGGCTGCAGGGAGCCCATAAGGCCACAGCCAGATGCCTGGGCCCACCCCACCTTGGCTGGGCCCTCTCCTGGGCAAGACCCTCCTCCATCTCCTCTCTGCCGTTCTTCCAGGTCCAGGTGTGCCCTGGTGCACACCCTTGGGGCTGGCAGTCGAGGCTGGAGGGTTCTGCAGGCCTGTGGTGTCTTGAATGTCACCTGCTCCACTGAAACTCATGCTCTGACTTCACTCTGCAAGGGGGCAGGGTAAGGTGGGCCAGGAGGAGTCGGAGTAAGGCTTTTCCTGGAGCTTCCAAAGAACAGGTGGTCAGGTGTCCTATCTCCTCTGACACACACTCCTGCCACAGGTATCATTGCTATGTGTGACACAGCTGGAGGCCACCAGCTAGGGTGGTGCAAATGTGGTCCTCCAGTGTCCAGCACTGTGGGCTAGACATACCTCTACCCTGCAGTGGACGTGGCTCAGGAAGGGGCTAAGACGGGGCTCTGCAGCAAGTGCCTGCACAGGCTGGAAATGAAGGGCTGGGGTCAGAGCCCAGTCACCCACGCGTCCCTCCAAAGCCACTGTTCAGGGCCTGGTCCCCAGCCATGTGCTGTCGAAGTGATGGCACCTTCAGGAGTGCAAAGCCACCTCACCACAACCCAGGGCAGCAGTGCCAACCACAGCAGACTGAAGCCTCCAAACCCAGGGTGCAGAGAAACCCACTTCCTGAGCGACTGCCTCGGAACCTTTGGCAGAGCGATGGGAGTAGGCACGGCATACTCTCGAAGTGTTCTGTAAAGAACCTGCACTACTTGTGCAGTAAGAGAAGACAGTCCAGGAGCCCTCACGCGCTGCCCAACTCCCAGCTGTGTGAAACCTCACGAGGGCTCCCTCTTTGGATCTGCAGCACTGCACCGGGCACACCGTGAGCAGGGCTGTGCTGTCCACACCCTGCAGCCGCACACTCGTCCCCTCATGCTGACCCTCGTCCTGAAGGGCAGGAGGAGGGAACTCGGGCAGCAACCACCTCAATCGGCACACCTGGACGGTGAAGGGACAGAGGGAGGACCCCAGGCAACATACTGAAAACCACTGCGCCCACTCGAGGGCCTGGACAAGAGCCATGGCCCCACCGGCCGTCCCCCGCAGGCACAGCTAGGAGCCACAGGTTCCAGCTGCGGCGTCCCCACAGAGCTGCCTGCCGGAGGAGAACATGGCGTTGGTCCACTGCCCGGGGTGCTGGGAGCACACGTGGCTCGCTGTACTCCCAGCCGAGGGATCTCTACCCCGGGAAAAAAGCGGTCGCTCACGAGCATCTGCAGAGGCCAGGCCCAAAGGACAGCATGTCCAGGTGGTAAGAAGCCCTGACTGCACCAAGGAGCCCAGAGGGCACAGCCACCTGGGTCCCCAGGCCCCACAAAGCTCCTCACACCTGTCCCCTCCTCCGAACATGTCATCGCCATCTGCTGCTGCCCATGGTCCTCATGCCCCTCGCCCTGCCGCAGTGTAGGCAAGGCTGCCCGAAGGTGCTGCCAGGCCACTCTGAAGGGGTGGCCCCCTGCATGCCACTGGGCTTCTTGCTGATGCCACCAGCAAGCAGTCCCCAGGCCCAGCTCTGTCCTCACGGGGACACCAGCCAGATTCCAGGAGACCACAGGTTTCCAGGGAGGTCTCAGTGGAGCTTCAGGCCCAGAGGCAGCACAAGACAAAGTGGGCCTCAGAGCCCGAAAGACTTCTGGCAGAAACAGGGTTCCACTGTGAGCCTGAGATGTCTTGCAGAGGGGGGCCAGGGCGGGCGCCAGGGGCCAGGGAGCTGTGGGGACACTGTCCAATCATGATGTCCCAGAGGGACAGTCCAGGGGCCAGGCTCGCTCCCAGGACTGCTGGCCTGCCCCTGCTCTCCCTCTCCGGGAGGGAGAGGGCCTCTCTCTGCCAGCCTGCACCCTGGGCATGGGATAGCAACCGCCAGCCATTTCATCTCTGGGCGCCATGGCCAGGCACTCCCCCCACTCAGAGCCCACTCACAGCTGGACCCAGGCCCTGGAGTGGATGCCGTATGGGCCAGGCCTGGGTACAGAGACAGGTGGAGTAGAGATGGGGCCACCGAGATACCCTCGACCCACTTCCAGGGCCTCTCCCCAGACCCAGCGATCCACATCTAACAGAACAAGTGCCAGGGTGGCACGCTGCTCCAAGACTAGGTTACAAAAACACTGTGGCTCCTGCCATTCACAGGCCTCTCTCCCTCACACCGAGAAGCTGCCAGGTTGCAAGCTGCCCTAACAATGTGCCCAAGGAGACGAGGAACAGAGGTCCTGGCCAGCCGCCATCGAGACAGCCTGCCAGTCGTGGCTGGCTGTGCGCGGGATCTCCCAGGCCGCCCCCACCAGGGCAGTGGGCCCCAGGAGAGTGAGCCAGGAAGCAGCTCCTCCCCTGACACCTGGACCCAGGCGCGTGAGGCCTCAGGCTGCTGCCCACTGGTGCCGAGATAAGTGACGCTGGCTGCTCCGAGCTGTGATGCCACATGCGTGTGGTCTGTGGGTGGACAGCAGGTCACAGGATGCAGACCTGACCTGCGCCTTGGCAGAGACCCTTTCTGCCACCAGCACATGAGGCAGCCCTGCACTCACGTCTGGGACAGGCCGTGTTAAGCATTTTCCAAAGCGCTCCGCAAAACCACGTCCACAGTGGAGTGACCAGGAAGTAAATCACGCTGCACATGCAAGCAAAATCGATGACAGCATGGGGAGAGAGCACAGCTCCACCACAGGGCCACCTCCCTGGTCATCACCTCACAGGCCAGGCACAGGAATCCGTGAGACACAGCAGGGAATGCAGGCTCAGAGAGCTCACAGTGGCCACAGCTCCGGTCTGGAAGACAGCCGCCAACCAAACCCCTTGCCGCAGGTCTCAGGGCAGGTCTCAGTGCACGGGGAGGCCGCTCCATTGCCCCAGGCTGAACTGGACTCCTGACGCGGGGCAGGAGGTCAACAGGACCTGCTGCTGCTGGCCTGTGAAGCTTTCACCAGGTCGAACAAACAGGACAACGCTAAAGTGCTCTAGAGCTGGTCATGGTGGCACAAGCCAGTAATCCTAGCACTGGGGAGGCTGAGGCAGGACTGCCATGAGTTTGAGGCCAACCTGGATTACCTAGTGAATTCAAGGCCAGCCTGGACTACATAGTGAGACCCTGTCTCAAAAAAAAAAAAAAAAAGAAAGAAAGAAAGAAAAAGAAAACTGTTCCAGTTGAGTATTTGGAATCATGAGAGGCCCGCTGCTGTCCCCCACTGCCCGGCACCCAGCTCTCACGGTGGCCCAGCTCAGCACACCATGTCTTCTATCACTCTGACTTGTACCACACCTGATGCCACCCAATGGCACCAGCACCTGGCCTCACCTTTCTCCTGGCCAGCAGCCCTGCTCTGCTCCCTCCTGGCTGCTCAGCTACCGCCTTCAGCCCTGGACACGGCTCCTGGCCCAGGCTACCCTGCTCCCTCCTGGCTGCTCAGCTACCGCCTTCAGCCCTGGACACGGCTCCTGGCTCAGGCTGCCCTGTGCCCAGACACTTCACCAGCAGCTCCTGTGGCAGTGCCAGGGACACAGATACCCCCAGGCCACTCATCCAGAGAGACACGGATGGATGGACAGCCTGAGACGTGCTCCCCAGGGACCAGGCACCTGGGCCCCAAGCCCCACCATGCCCCTGCAGGACAGGTCGGCTCAGGGCCTCCTGCTGCAGAGCTGCCAGACTGTCAGAGGCTGTGAGGCTTGAGACGCAGCCGAGGCCCAGAGCGACACGTGCCCTCTGACGACCCACAGTAGTGCTACCAGCCAGCCCGAGCTTCCTGCTGGCTCTGAGCCCTGAGCTTGGCCTTCAGGCCACAAGTCTGCACAGTGATGGCCACCTGGGACCCAAGGTCAGCTCCTTGGCCACCGAGGCCCAAGCCACTCAAGGTTTCCATTCCTTCTTATTTGAGTTTCCCTTTTTAATCTCTATTTGAACTATTTCCATTGTAGCTTTAAATCTACACAAAGACTATAAATAGAGTCGATGGATTAGCAGGAAAAACCCTGGACACCCAGCTCCACCCCACTTGGTCTGACTTCAGATAAATGACAAACAGCCTCAGTCTAC